TGGCGCGAATGTTGTACGGTCTGCTTGTTGAAGTCCCGGGCTCCATGAAAAAAATAAATTAATACAAAAAATACCCAAAAGTATACACAAACATCTTTTCTTTCCCAGCTATGTACAAGCTGTTTCGCTTCTGTTCTGTATCCCGATCCACCCATCCTTGTTATTGTTATTGTTGTGGCGTTGGTACCATGCTTGTCCGCAAGCCGGTATTAAATGAACGATACATAGATGGAGTATAAATTCCGTGCAACCTAGTACGTGATCATATCCTCTTTTGTTCCCACAATGAGCCCCGCTATAGGATCAACAATCGTCAATCGAAAAACCATCTTGAACGTATGGGGTAATCTGATTGGTGTTTTTCGTTCTTCGTTGGAGTACCACGTCAGGAGATGCTTTTTGGGATGTTGAAACCACGTGTTGGTGATAAGCAGTTATAATCGCCAAACATGAGTAATCTGTTACTATTCTTGCAGCGCTCATCCGGGCCGATCCTCCTTACGATGTGCTTTGTGACCTCTTCGTGTGGGCACGTTCGGGCGTTCCAGTCCTCAGTTATGACAGGTACATGCCTTCTGGGTACTTTATTTATAAGCGGTTGGAGGCTGCCATAAAACTCATCCTCGACTTTGTTCAAAGGGAGAGTTGGGGTGTAAACAGCGAATACTGTCAGGTTTACTGAATCGCGCTACTGTAATCCTAGAGGACACCGGTTTCCAGGAAACTGAAACCTTATCACCCCGATAGCTTGAAACAAGTGCTATTCCGTGTTGACCCGACGTTTCATTACTGCCTTGTTGTAGTCAATATTGACTATCAATACCAAAGATTTCGATAATTTTATGGCCGAAGCAAGTTAACCTGTCTTCATATAGGCATGTGATGTCCAGCTGATGACCATGCAGCGCGTATCGTTAACGCCTAACTCGCCGCATCTGAGAGTGTTCTAACGTTCCAGCATCCAATGCAAGCTGTTTTCGTAGTTATCACCATGGAAGTTCCTGCACTATGTTTACTGCCCGCTTTCGACTCTTCGATTATTTGGAGATATAAATAAAGAAGAATGCAGAATGCGAATAAACTAAATGTACACAAACAGTAGGTGTACGAGTGCCATCATTTATGGAGCAAGCGGAAATAGGTACTGATATTTGCGGCGGATTTCAATTTGAATGGGGAGCTCGAATCGTATAGCATAGTTTTTGAGCGTTAGCAGATACCAACCACAAACGAATCCACCGTTTTGAGTAAAATGGCGTTTCGCGTTTCCTGTTGGTCTGCGTACGTTGAAACAAACTTCGTTGGACCGTAAAAGAAGTTGAAGCCGGTTCTGATGAGGTTTAGGCCGGAATCCGGTCATGGCCGAATTCAGAAGTGATCCGTGACCACGAGGTCTCCATCCGGGCAGCCTAAGACGATCTGTGTGAGCCAATCTCCTGGTCAAGGTTTTCATACCCTCCTGCCAAGTCCCATTTTGATGCCCTTTTTCTCGTCCATTTATCGCCTGTCTTGGAATGCAATATGTGCCTTTGGTGACATATGTAACACATGCCCCAAGCAATTTACTCAGTGGAGGTGGAGCATCCGCTCCGATGGGGGATCACAGTTACCTAAATATATGCTCCCAAATTCAATATTACCTGTCCGCTTGCCTCACCAGGCTCGTTCGATTCTGCGCTGACAGTATTTATATTTCACACCGGCTTGAGAACCAGCATAGTGCCAACGTAAAAACTGTGATATTTATCGTAGGAAGGGGTGCAGGAAGATGAAATGAAGATGGGGAAAACGGAGAACAGAGAACAAGCCAATGAATGAATGAATAATTTCTTTTGATGGTTGATAGTTTTGACAGCGATTCAAACAGTCGTTGATCAACTCAGGTCAAGCTTCTAGTAGAGCCGATAACAAAAGTTCAGCTGTTTCTCCTCGGCTAGAATCTAATATCTCGGACTTAGGAAGTTACTATTTTTTTTAGTACACTTTCGTGTGACGAACAGCAGGTGAGGTAAACCCCATAGTCACGAGGACCTGCCGTTCAGTGATGGAAACCGGTAACATAAGCCCCGGGACTTGGAGTGGTGAACCACATAAGGCCTCGATAGGTTAGGCGTGGTATTGAACCGGACGACAGCAAAGCTGCCTACCACCAAAGTCGGGTGGCGGTGGCGGGGCTCGAACCTCGGACCACAGGGTCCCAAGCAAACCTGTCACAGCGACCAAACCACTGCGCCACCACCACCCTATGACTGATTTCAGTACTGGGTTACTATCACCACGTCACAATGTCGTTACCATACCCTTGTGTTATTTTATGGTGAGAATGTCTGTCAGGCGTGACTCCACCATTGCCGTTCTTCCGCGGTCGCATGTTCATTAAAAAAAAGCCATTTTGACTTACAGCTAGCCACCATTTTGGTGACTGTTTCCCAATCCACTCGGCAGCATGCATCTATGCCTCCAGTAACTTAAAAATAGAGCAAAGCTACAGCAAAAGACAAGAGAATCGCAAATAGTTTTAAAAATTATTTTATCACACATTTGTGTGATGAACAGCGGAAGGGATAAACCCCATAGTCACTAGGACCTGCCGTTCAGTGATGGAAAATGGTAGCCTAAGTTCCGGGGACTTGGAGTGTCGAATCGTACAAGGCCCCATTAGGTTGGTCGTGGTGCTGAACTGGACAACAGCAAAGCTGTCTACCACCAAAGCCGGTTTGCGGTGGCGGGGCTCGAACCTCAGACCATCGGGTCGGGAGCACGCCGATGACAGCGACTAATCCAGTGCACCACCACCACATACCTCTTTTAGGGAAAAGAGGGATATACGAACCTTGTAAAGTACGTTACCGATTTAAGTGGAACACTGGTCGTCGAGTTACACAATGAAAGTGAAGTCTGTGATTCTGTACACGAAATGGAGTTGACATAATTGACGACTCCTGACTTCATTTTACAATCTCTCTTGATGAAAAAAATGTCCTCGTCTGCGTCTACAATAGAGTCCCTTAAATTCTGGTTTATCTGGAATCCTAGAGAGCACTTCACACAACCGTTTGAGAAGATATGACACTACAAGAAGTTGTTCAGGTCAGGAAGTTTACTGAATAACGATCGTATACTGTTACACGTGATCTGGCAGATTGTAGCCCCGGGGAATATGACAACTGTTGACAGTGTGCAAGCCAAACAACGGTTTCTAAAAGCGTTTGTTCCCTGTAATCAGTGATATAAGCAAACGGCTTATAGTAATGTTACCACAGGCAGCACGGTGGATTGCAAATGAGTAAATGATTATTACGGTCGCTGTATACCTATTGCGGTTGCTGTACCTGCATACTTCTGGTAGCGTAAGGGTCTACGGTGGGGTAAGTAAATCATTCGAAACCAGGAGCGGTGCCCTATTTCGCCATCCCTGTTAAATTTTGTCGTACACAAAATATTGGAGAACGCACTAAGTGGTCTCCAAAATTTTGGTATTAAATGGGCGGCTGGAGAAAAGTTGTGCGATTTAGGGTACGCGGATGACATCGTTTGTCCGTTTGAATGTATGGGGGATGCGCAAAGCGCTCTTGACAGACTCTCAAGTTCTGTTGCTCCGTTCGGTATGCGCTTTGCTCATTCAATGTGCAAAGTGATGCCACAAGACTACCCCAGCGCTGATGCTTGGTGGTCAAGAATTAGCTGAAGTGAAATGTTTCACCTACGTTACAATGACGTTAGCATAGTCAATGAAGTAATCGCCCGCACTTCCAATGCTCGAGCAGCCTATGCAGGGTTGAAACACCTTTGGTGCAGACGCGATGTTTCGTTGAAACTGAAAGGTCTTGTATACTGTGTGTGCGGTCAGTTCTGCTTCATTGTCGCGAGACCCTAACTTTGCGCGTGAAAGATATTTGTCGTCTAGAAGTCTTCCACTGCCGATGTTTACTTAGTTTAGCGCGGGCTTGTAAGCAACTCGCGTCGCGTATTTGGTAATGATTCGATGGAGAATTCGTTGTTCCATCGAATTCAGATTAGTCGGCTTCGCCGGTTGTGACACGTATTGCGCATGCCCAGCCATTGTCTACCGCACCGCACTTTATTCGCAGTCGCGGCTCCAGGTTGAACGAAGCCACGTGGAGGTCAACAGATGACGTGGAAACGAGGTCTGAAAGAATGCACAGCGATTGGGTGGAATAGGTGTCTCTCGTCTTCCAGGTTGGGCCCAAAAGACTGTGCAACTGGTTGGTTGGAGACACTGAAGAATATAGCAACTAACCGACAGTAGTGGCGTTCTTGTTGTCATTTCTTTTCAAGTCAGAATGCTTGAAAACTTATTTATGCACACTTAGGTTGTGTACTTTGTGTTGACCATAGAGGTTAACCATTATTGCCTCCCTCCAATTGGGTCCAATCCCTCTCCATCTTGTGCTTTATCACTTGATTTGTATACATTGTGAGCTTGGCAGTGATCAGTGAAGTTCGCTTCACTGTATCTCACTGTTCGATGATGATAATGATGAAACGGTTATCATATAGTTTCAGGAGGCGTGAAGGACAGGACTCATGACAAACTCTACCTTTCCCTATCACTATGTTGTGCTGCATGTAGCAAAACGACGGATTCCTTAATTTTTCTGATACTTTACTGTGTTTTAAGATCATTTGCCAACGCAAAACGATTCTCCTAGTCTCCTATATCTGGGCTTTTGTTTACCTGTTCATACTGTGATGTACGTCTACACTTCTGCACAGGTTTCAAAACTGGGATGTCACGCGTTTGCTCTTCTTTTTGATGACATTGAGCCCAGACTCTGTCCCGCGGATCGCGAAGTATTCAGCTCCTCCGCGCGCGCTCAAGTCGTGTTTGCAAATGACCTCTACAATTATCTGGGCTGTCCCAACGTCTTCCTCTTCTGCCCAACCGAGTATAGCGCGAGTTTGGCTGTGCCCAACTTGACAAAATCCGAGTACCTTTCAACAGTCGCTTCTTGTTTGGCTCCGGGTAGGTGACACTTGTAAAAATTTGTCTGACTTTGATATAAGATTTAATCTCTAATCACCCAAAGGGTTTTGCTTTGTCGCAGTTTTGTTGTACGTATTTCTTGATTCTTTGCACCATGCACAACAGATGATTGCGTGTATTGTCTGACACTGAAAAGTTTTAGATTGACCGACTATTAGCGTTGTCTCGCACGAGATATGAAAAAAAACCTGTTATTGTCTTTCTAACTCCTTATCGAGTTGTTTATATTGCATATTATGATTATTGTACTGTAACATGATAGATTGTACGATTGGTGGGAGATTGTAGCGCAATAAATCGCACGTTCAGTCGGCAAACAGGCCAGGATACGATGCCTTGTTGATAGGATTTAATCGACCAAAAACGAGGCATGGGAGCTAAAACGAAGCAAGCAGATGCTAGAATGTGCATCAAGAATAAGGGCTATTTATTATTATTTACCACCGGCTTGAAGACAAGCATGGTGCCAACGCAACAAGAATAATAACAATAACAATAAGGCGGGATGGGTGGATTGGGGTACAGAACATAGTGAAAAGGGCTATTTATTCGACATAAAGATAGTA